ATGATTTTAATGGAACTGTTATGAACTATTGTATACTTCTGGTTTTGCTTCAGAAAAATAATTATGTGCTAATCTTGTGAAACAGATCTGTACACCTACACAGTACACCTACAGTACAACTGTACACCTATGGGTTCAGCCTGATGTGATCTGCTTGTGTTTTGCCTCTAGATCTTCCGCTTCAGGACATGTCTCGCAGTGCGAGTGCTCTGACGGGCCGCCAGTACAAGAAGTGGCTGATGGATCTGCGAATCTCTCACTCTCTGGTCAAGTTCAATCATAGTGCTCTTCTGGATCGCTTGCTGGAGGGTTATGACAATGCTCGACACGGCACTGGGGTCAGTCTGAATCTCAGTCTATGGCTTGAAATTAGTTTAAGGTCCTAAAATTAACATTCGACAAGCCCCCAATACTAGTAAAAACGTATTTAAAAAAAGCTTATTTAAAATAGCGTTACACACTAGTTAGTCAAAGAATTAATTTTAGTTCATTCCTACAGTCCCTACGAAAGTAGGATGGTGGAGGAGAAAAATCGATCTAATTTTTGGTGTACTATGTGATGGGAAGCTTCTTGGTTTAACATTTAAAAGAAGACAAACAAAAACAATTAAGAATATTAGTTTTGTTGTTTAAATTTTTATATAAAAAATAATCATTAAAAAAATTTGAATAAAAAACCTTCAGATTTTTGTGCTGTCAAACAATTGATCTCATCCAAAATAAAAGTTTTTATTTTGATTTATAAAACCTAACCAGAAATCGAGGGTACAGTATATGTGACGTCATTAGCATGGTGGTCTGTGTCACTAGTTTAAATTGCTTATTGGTGTAAAAATTATAGACAATATATTTAATAACCTTAACATTAAAAGGTTTTGCAGAACCACATTGTTGCCTAAATGCAAACCTTTTTGGAATTTCTGATTTGAGCAGATTGAATGGAAAAAAGTTTGGAACTTACCTAGTCAATGTCTCGCCAATAAAATTAAAGAAGTGACATATAAACTAATTTGTTTAATTTGTCCAATGAAACAAATTGTTAAAAAAAGTTTTAGAGACAAGGATTCTGTGTGCACTTTTTGTGAATAAGAGGAGGAATCAACAAAACACCTGTTTTTTGAAAGCACAAAATGTTTTGTTAACAAAATGTTACCCAAATGTTTTGGTTTGATGTTGAATATCTTATATTTAATCTTACAAAATAAACAATTCAGTTTCTTGTAAAGATATTTTTTTGACATGCAATATTAATAGTAAAACTTTGGAGCAAATTGAGTTTATTAATTTAATGATTATATTTGTGAAGTACCATGTACACAAACAAAAATTATTAAATGATAAACCTAACATATATTTGTTTAAAATTGATCTTAAGCATTATAACGAAACTCTAAAAGACATTAAAAATAAAAAAGTTCTATGGATGTATGCAATTTTGGAATCATTGTCTTATGCAAATTTTTTGTCATATAAATATCCTGTCAATTTATTTATGTTTTGCTTTTTATCATCTATTGTTTTGTTCCTTTTGATGTGAAAAAAAATGTCAGCACTGTATTCCGCAATTTTTTTGTCTGTTATTGTTCTTGTTATGCAATAAAAAATCCAGTCAAAAATTGTTTAAATTGATTATTTATTTTGATTTGAACATTCTTCTAAAGATTTGGGATAATTTAAATACATAAGTCAGCAAAATATATAACATATTCAAATAGGTTGTATATAAATTACATATTTCAATAATAACATTTCTTGATTTTTTTGTTCAAATTCTGCCTTTTCTGAAATGCAGTTTTTAATTTCCTGCATGCGTTTAACAGTTTTGTCCAACAGAGGGCGCCGCAACACAATACACATTGAATATTCTTGTGTTCTCTGTCCTGCAGGTGTTTGGTGAAGCAGAGTTTGTGAAATATAAACAAGATCTGACTGAACTGGCTGCTCTGTAAGTTCTGCAGTCCACCGTTTTCTGTTCATGTGTCAAACGTTCACTTTTTTCACTTGCAACTGACTTGAGAAGTTTTGTAATGGCAATACTGGAAAAAAAAATATTCAGCCGATATATTATTATTAAAAAAAAAATTGCAAATATTATTATTATTTTTTTGCACTACTTGATTTTTATTTGCAGTTTGAGTTTCTCAAAACTCAATTGTCCCTTTCCAATTGTCCTCAATTGTCCCTTTGCGATTTTTTTTTTTTATTTTTATTATTTTACAATTTTTTTCTAAATACTTTTATTTTTGTTTGCAAAACATTCTTTTATGTTGCAAGTATATATGGCCCTAGATTGACTCCATATTTTTTCTTCCCAGTGTGAAGAGTCACTCCAACAGCAGCAGTCTGAACCAGCAGCACCAGTCAGCAGCCAAAGACCTGACCAGCTCTCCCGGCCCATCGTCCACCTCCACCATCCAGGTCACCTACCTGCCGTCCAGCGGTCAGCGCAGCAAGAGGCCCAAACACTTCCTAGAGCTCAAGAACTTCAAAGACAACTACAACACACTGGAGAGCACGCTGTAGGACACTGGGTGAGTAAATCTTGACTGAAAAATCATCATCCACACAGTGGGAGATGCTGAAAAAAGCCCTCGAATAACTCTGTGAAATGTGAAAAATGTGGCAGAAGAGGTGATGAAATCTGTGGGATTGATGTCAGCGCTGCTGCTTTGAGAACAATGCAAGAATATTGCGTTTGCTCATGTTATGTTTTCCTGTCAGAGTTTACAGGAAGATGCTGTTTTCTTGTGCTGAAAGTCAAAGCCACTGTTTAGCAGTTTTTTTTATGTAAAAGGCCTTTTCATGTGAACTGGGAGAGTTTTGTATCTTTATTGGCCAAAGAGCACAAACAAAGCGCCCCGTTTAACTGAGATGATAAAACTTTCACTGCCATTGCTTATCAGTCATAAACGTATGGAGTCCATCTAGGGCCAAATATTCCTGCAAAATAAAAGAAAGTTTTGCCAACAAAAAGAGCAAAATAAAGAAATGCAAATCTCCAAAAATCACAGAGCCAAAATTACTTGAATGAAATGTGCAAAAAAAGAGCTGCAAATAAAAATCAAGCAGTGCAAATGAAAACTAAAATATTTGCTAAGTATTTTACAACACCTTTACCAAACCCGTCCAGTCGATTGCAATGCTCTTCTTGATTTGCTTTTTAGTCAGCTGTGAGTTTGCCATGCTGTTTTCACATTGCACTTCACTTTACTGTGCGTTCTGCCCGCGGCCTGCTATAAACACCCAAGTTCCCTTGACTCCACCCCCTTGTCAAAGCAGGGCCATTAAGTGAAAAGCGCAGAAATGTGCAAAGTGAAAACAGCATCGCAAACTCACAGTTGACTAAAAAGCCAATCAAAATGAGTATTGTAACTGGACAGGTTTTTTAAAGGCAATTTTATAAAAAAATGTTTTGCAGATATATATATATATATATATATATATATATAGAGTTACGTTTTTTACATTTCTTATATTTTATTTTTTTTACTGCTTGATTTTTATTTGCGGTTCTTTTTTTGTTTTCAAATTTCATTTTTATTTTTATTTTTTTAAACTTAATTTTCCCTTTGCAGTTCTTTATTTTTGTTATCAAAATGAATTTTTATTTCTTTAATTATTTTTCGCTTTGAAATTTTTGGAGATTTGCATTTATTTATTTATTTTGGCTCAATATTTTTAGTTTGCCAAACTTTCTGTTATTTTGCAGGTATATATGGCCCTAGATTGACTCCATATAATTGTGTTTTTTAAAAGCAGCTGTGCTAACCAACTGTTACACCAGTTTGTTTTATAAAAGCAACTTAAGCTTAAGGTGTTCAAATAGAATCATGCACCGGACATCATTCTAACAAAAAAGACTATTGTCGGTAATACTAAAGTGCAATTTTAATTTAGTTTAATTACAGTAGTTTATTTAAATATGTGTGTAGATATGAGAAAGAGTGTGGTTTGAGTTATGTATTGCTATGTATGTATGACTGAGAGACATATGTCAGTGTGAACTTTCACTGTGTTATAAATCTTCTTGATCTAATCAAGTGTCTGACTCTTCTGTGGCTGAACTGTAGAGCTCTATGTATTATGTAATAATGTCTTGTATTAAAGCAATGCTTTCCTCAAACCTAGTTTTTAATACTTTTCACATCATCATAGCAATCAAATAAATATATATATATATATATATAACTATATAGCTGGCTACATAATAATAATATATTAATTTTAATTTTGTTTGTATACATTTACAATAAGGATGTTTATAAAGGGTGCAGTGGGTAGCGCTGTCACCTCAGCAAGAAGGTCGCTTGTTCGAGCCTCAACTCGGTCAGAGGGCATTTCTGTGTGGAGTTTGCATGGTCTATCCCTGTTCGTGTGGGTTTCCTCAGGGTTCTCTGTTTTCCCCACAAGTCCAAAGACATGCGGTACAGGTGAATTAGGTAAGCTAAAAATTGTCCGTAATGCACGAGTATGAATAATCAGATTGGTGTTTTCCAGTGATGGGTTGCAGCTGGAAGGGCACCCGCTGCGTAAACATTTCAACGTTCACTCGGCTGTGGCAACCCCAGATTAATAAAAGGACTAAGCCGAAGAGAAAATGAATGAATATAAATTAAAACTAAATAGCATTTTACTATATGTGATATATGTTGTAATAAATTAATATGTATTGTTTTTACCATGTATATGTAGAAATTGCATGAAGTATTAGGTCATGAAAATTTAATTGAATGTCTTAGAAAAATCATAGAAAAAGTCATTGAATTTTAGTAGTAAAAATGTGCATGAACCCTGTACTTTTGTAGGAGAATAGCTCAATATTGTAATGCATTAACTTTCCCAAACACTTTTGTGTCCAAAAAATTTAATTTGCAGCAGTTGTCAGCTTAAATACAATAAAAGCCCAATAGGATATATATATTTTATCGTCTTCAAGATGCCACAACACTTACCATTTGACACACTTTCCTTTTTGACACAAAAAATTCAGGACAACGACATTAATGAAACTAATTTATTTAAATAGAACACACAACATACATTCATTCAAGCATCACAAACCACTCGTATCTACTACAAAAATATTATCATTATTATTATTAATACAAAAACAAAACAAAAGATGCTAATATGAAGCATTTCTGAGAAATTCGCAAGGTTAAAGTTCACACAACATGAAAATATACACACAGCCATTTACAAATGAGATGGTGGATTAACATGGTAATGAAATGCATAATTTAACACCCCCGTCTGAAAGTATAAATAATCTCTCACCCGCTGCAGTTTAGTGAATGCTGTAAATGGCTGACTGGGTGAGTGTGCACTGGAGAACAGAAGTCACGCTAGTCTGAACTGGTCACTCAGTGCTGGACAAGTGTTACATTCTTGGAGACTTATGAAACACTTTTAAAAGGCCCCTTTGTTTTTCAAGGAAGTGAGTCTGGACTCTCTCTGCTGTGTGGCTTTTGGTCGAGAAAGGTTTAAATATTTGTTGCAGTTCTCTGTTTTAGCATGAGTTAGTGTGTGTGTGTGTTGACTCGCTGTCTCTGCTTCTGTTCTTTCAGCACTTCAGTTATCAGTTATTATTAAAGATAAAGGAGGTGCACTGCTGCGCTTCTGGACTCTTGCAATGAGAGATCAAATGCTTTAAAAATTTTATTAGCCACAGAAAATATTTCCTCACCTCGATTTAGATTTAGCAAAAAGAATATATTATAAAAATGTCTTAATCCTTCATTCTTTATTTCACATTCCTTAAAATAAGTTATTAATAAATGCTAGGTTCTATAATTCAATTGAAATATTCAGCTGTTGAAATAGATTGGATGATTTTATATTCTATTATTATATTGTATACCTGTTAAATATTTTCATATTTTATCTTTTGAATAATAATAATAATTTTAAAAAGTATTTATTAATTTATTCAGAAATCTTTTTAATTCATTTTATTAACTTCAATGGATTAAAATCGAATTGAATTATAGAAATTAATTGACTTGAATAAAAGTCTTTTATTTTTAATTATTTTATTTACTTCAATGAATTAAAATCAGTTTTAATTAAAGAAACTAATGGGTTTGAATAAAATAAAATTCTTTTTTTAATTTATTTTATTTACTTCAGTGGATTAAAATCTGTTTTAATTGAAGAAACTAATAGGTTTGAGTAAAATAAAGTCTAAATGAATTTTATTTTTACTTCTATGGATTAAAATCCGTTTGAATTATAGAAACTAATGGGTCTGAATAAAATATTTTTTGTCATTTTTAAAAAATTCAAAGTTCAAATGTACGACTAACAGGTTTGAATAAAATAAAATAAAGTGTTTTATTTACTTCCATTGATTAAAAAGAATTATAGAAACCGAGTATGATTAAAATAATGATATAAAATAATGTTTTGTATTTTTATATACTTCAACAGATCTACAATCAATTTAAATTATAGAAACAGTTCTGAATAAAATTACAATTTTTTCATTGATATTTACTTCAACAAATTCAAATCCATTTGCATTAAGAAACTAATGGGTATGAATAAAATAATACATTTTAAAATAAAGTTATTTTTTGTTGCTTATTTCAACAGATTCAAATCTATTTGAATTATAGAAAATAGCACATATAAAATAAAATGAAACCCAATTCCAGTCTACTACTGTTGCTCTAATTTACCCAGATTTTCACCTGTGATTTGTATCAGAGAAAAAGCCCCCTTCACTCCCCTTAGCTGAGCTAATCCCGAGATGATCAAGATTATGAGAGATAAAGAGGGTGTTTAACGTTACAATCTGTCCATTACTGCTGAGTAAAAGACATCGTTTTCAGAGGGCCAGCCTCAAATAAATACCTCCAACTTCATCTAGTTTCACAATAATGACTAAAATGACTTCTTCAATCTGTTTGTCTTCATATGTTCACTTTAACAGTCCCGCATTCATAGTCAGTGTCAATAACAGTAACAGACTTCTGCAATATTAGAAGTGAAGGCCTTCAGACAGTAAAGCTCTGGGTTTTAGTTTTTTCACGATTTAATTTCGATGACTTTGATGAAGGGCAGACTCTTGTTGCTTTGGCTGGATGGTCTGAGAGGTTTGCTGTAAAAAGACAAACATATGATTTGACTTAATGGGTGTTCTTGTGGGTTCGTTATCAAGCACACTGGACTATTTGCATGAAAACATTTGCGTACAGCTATCGGGACCGTTTGCATGTCTTACCTGTAGACAATCTGCGCATTGCTGTCTGATGGCAGGAATGAATTTGACCTTTGGCTTCCCAGGTAATAATCCATCTGGTCACGCATTTGTTTGTTCTGTTTGAGCAAAGCACATTCACAGGTCACACGTCACGCACAGATAAAAAAGGTGATTAATCACTCATAAGCAGAACAATGAGTTTTATTTATTTTGCGAGGACATTTTCAGTTCCATGTTAGTTGCCTTTAGTGAAACACAAACGTCCAGCACAATCAGTAAGAATGACTTGTTCAAGTGACGAACATTAAGCTTTTTGATATTTTTTTATTTATTATGCACTTATTAGTAAGTCATTATTAAGCTTGTTTAAAACTGAAATTATATTTTGTAATTCCTTATTAATACTGTAAATTGCAAAGATAAGATTTTTTTTTACTTAGAAAGTTCACGCTTAATTAAATACATTAATATATTCCAAGTTTTATGAGGAGACATTATTGATACGCATGCAAACACAAAGAGAATCTCAATGAGAACAAACTTCATTGGTTCTTGAGATGCTCAAGCTGGCCACATGACATGCAAGAATAAACCGTATTGGTTCTCGAGGGTCAAGCAAGCATGGTTGAGCTTTTATTTATGTTTTAAGCCAATCGTTTTTTTTTCTTTCTTTTTTTTTCTTTTTTTTTGCTGATTGGCAAACTAACTTTTTATAAACCACTTGATTCATATGTCTTTTCTCTTTAGGAATGTTTTGAAGCATCAGAGTTTTGGGTGAAGAGACTGAAATGCCTCAGAACCAGAATTTTTCTAATGAATCAGAGCCAGAATCATAGTAAATTTTAAATAACATTAACACTGGGACTACTAAAATTCTAATGCCACTAGATTGGTCATAGTGGTCATTCCGATGGTTTAAAGAAATATGCAAGACAGTACAGAATTGTATTATTTTAATTCTAGGCTTCTTTTGAAATTTTAGAATTAAGCTTTGAATGTTATATTTTATAAAGTCATGCTTAAAAAAAGTTTTTGTTTTGTAATAAAGCTTATAACTGTGTATGAGTTACGAGATCGTTCCCTAAGGTAAGCGGGAAAGCAGTTTTAAAAATTTTCTGTGTTGGTTTTGAATTGTTGGTCTTGAAAGTTTAAAAGACATGTTTGAAGTTAAGTTTTTATGCTATGTCTTATAAGAAAGTTATTTAAGCAGAACAGTTTACAGGCGACATGCGCCATGCATATTCAAAAAGTAGTAGAGACTTGAAAAAGTAATGGGCGTTGAAATGTATGCTGTCAATTTGACCGTTATGACCATTCAAGATAGAAAGACTCTGAACTCTTTTGTGTTTTGTCATTATAATAAAGTAACATTGTTAGAATGAAAAATACACACTTTTAGGAAAAGTCAGGGTACTATAGTTTATGGGTTTTATTTTAACAAAGTTATAAAATATGCAAATCTAAAATTGGTCAAAATGGCTTCCTCTGTAGGTAAAATATGTGTTTGTTCATGTAAACTGACCTCAGCCTCCAGCATGGCCACCTTTTCCTCCAGCTCTCTGATGGCTCGGTCTCTCTCCTGAATAACCATGCGTGAGTTTTGAAGCTAGATGATGACAAAATATTAAAAAGCTTGAGTTAAACAAATGAGCATAACGTGACCAGTCCATATGAATTAACATACATTTATTTCAGTCCAATTACAAGTATGGGACTCTTAATAAATATGTATAAATGCTGTCTAAATTTATTAAAGCTTTCCCACTTTTGACCACTTCCAGTAGCCAATTAGATTGCATTAGTCGAAGTAGAGATGCATTCAAACAGCCACAAAGAACACTTTCCCTTTGCCTACTGACCAAACATCACATTATGTTGGGATATGTTCTGATAAAGTGCACCAAAAATTAGCTATTCATACTTCACCAATTTGTAATAAAACTAGGTTATATTTGAAATCATCCTATTGTTTATATTTTTTTAGTGTCCTGCACACTTTTTAGCCACATAACATGAACTTGTTCGTTCAATACAACAACAAAGATGTGGTCATAAGAGGCACATTTGAACAAATAGTTCATCCAAAAATTAAAATGATGTTATTAATTACTTGCCTTCATGTCATTCCTTTCCCCTGAGACCTTCATTTATCTTCGGGACTTAAATTAAGATATTTTTTAAATTGATATCCAAGAGCTCTTTGACCCTCCACAAACAGCAACGGTCCACAAAAGCAACCGGTGGTTCAACTCTAAACCTACGAAGCTCCAAAAATATATTGGTTTGCCATAAAGCTGTAAAAAAGGAGGGCTCCAGGATTTCATCTAAAATAGCTTAATGTGTGTCCTGTAGATGAACAAAGCTCTCTGGGGTTTAATATGACATGAGGGTGAATAATTAATAATGGAATTTTATTTTTGAGAGGATTAATTCTGTAATATGAGACGGAAACAGATCCACTTGAGAATGGTTTAATGAAAATGCAAATTAGCTCTAGATGGAACCGATGTTTGTGTTTGTACTCATTTACCTGTTCAATCATCTGCCGCATTTTTCTCTGCTGACTCTTCAGCATGTCATCCAAGTGGTGAATCTTCTCTTTCAGAATGGCATTGTCCTTTTCCAGCTCTTCTAGCCTGTTGAATGATGAAGCCAGTGTTAACAGCATCGGCATTAATAATATTATATTATATTCATAATAATAATATAATATTCAGCATTAATAAAAAGGCACTGCAATCAGTCACATCCTCACCTCTGTGTCCCGACGTGACCCTCGTCTCTGAGTTCTCTGAGCTGCAGGATTTCAGCTTCTCTGCTCATGAGCTGTTCCCTGAGACCCGAGCTCTCCTGCTCCATGCCGCTCATGAGACGCCGCAGGTCGTCAATCTGCTGGTCCTGCTGCTGTTTGCTCTGCTGGATCCTCTTCAGATGCTCACTCTGCTCCGACAGCTGCTGTTTATACTGACGCGCCTCCATCTGCCAGAACAGACACACAAGAAAACAACAATTACATCACAAGACACAAAAGATGCATTTGTATTCAACTGGTAGAAATTGGAACGCTCGATTCTGATTGACCAATCAAAGGCTTCTACGGATGAGAGGCCAGCCACGATCAATCATATCATGTGCTCCTCTCAAAATCAGTTTGTAAAACTTCACAAAGTTGAAGACAAAATTAGCAGCTCTCCTGTGAAATTTTAATTCTTATTTAAATATTTTTTAAGTGTTGTTTAACAGAGCAATTACATTTTTCTACAGTATTTCCTATTCAGTTTTTTTAAGACATATTTTTTGATTGTCTACAGAACAAACCACTGTTGTCCAATGACTTGCCTAAATAATCTAACTTGCCTAGTAAACCCAATAAACCTAGTTAAGCCTTCATATAAAATAATAGCTGAAATATCGTAGACTGTGATTAAAGCAAAGACAACATAAATGATGTTATTAAAAATTAGTTAATAAAACTATATTATTATGTTTAAAATGGGTTGAAAAAATTCTCATCTTTAAACAAACTTGAGAACTTGGGGAATATTTGAAAGACAATGAAGATTTCACATGCAGGAGGGCTAATGTTTTGTCTTCAACTCTATATATCTACAGTTAAATTAGAATAAATCTACTAATTCTGTCAAATAATGTTTGAAAATATGGAATTTTTAAAGGCCAACAAGAAACTTGATTAAAGTTACTCAAACAATTTATTGACGTCTTTAATGAGAAAATGGACATATCTACAGAACAGTTTTGTTAAAGCATTTTTTGTGTATTTATTTTTACTTTTTTGTTTGATGAAACAACTTAATATAATAAATGATAATTCTATATTTAAAGGCTTAAATACCCAAATTATGTTCCAAGTTTCTGAAAAATGTAAAAGTATGTATTCATAGTTCTTGAGGCTCTCATAAATGAAATTAAATTATCATAAAGATTCAACATCCTTTAAGTAATATAAAGGATATATATATATATATATATATATATATAATTTCATTTATAAGAGCCTCAAGAAATATGAATACATTTAAATTTTTCAGAAACTTGAAAAAAAATTACATAATCGCTGGTAAAATCTTGAAATGTATTTTCTAAATCATAGAGTAACATTGTAACATTTTTACTTTAATTTTGAAGTTTTTGAGATTTCCCATCTGCAATATGCTCAAGAACTTTAAGATCTGTATTCTGCATATGAAATTGTTTCAGCAATGAATTAGTACATAAATATAGTTTATATGTGTATAAGTTCAATCAGCATTACTAGAGATTTAATTTGGTAACAGATTTTGAACCCATTATCCATCCTAATGGGCAGACATATTTGAAAAAATCCTAATCTAAAGCTTCCAATGTTACAGAAGATTTTAACTTTATTTGGTAAGTGCAATCCCTCTTTTTCACTTAAAATCTATAAAATATTGGCAAACATATCAATCCTGATAAAAACATTGTAAATGTGGCTTACGTCTGTGTCTGGAGGGAAGGGATGCCATGCTGCTTATCAGTCTAGTGGATTTATTTATTTATTTTTTTTCATATTACAACATGGCGAGCCTTACCACCATTTGATTAAATGACAATCGTCCACTCTTATGGACTGCAGGCTTTAAATTGGATCAAATGCACAGGAACTACAAAAAACATGGGCTGACATGTGATGTGCATTTTAACAGACACAGGGTCCGAAGGGGTTAATAAGTGTTTTCTTTGTTTGGTTAGACAGAATAATGTAAAATAAGCCATTTTAAAGTGTATTTACATGTATTTTCTGGGGCAGACTGTAGTTGTGTATGCTTTATTATACCACAGAGGAAAATGAAAAACACTCAATATTCTTCAATACATCACAATATCATTCTGACAACAGCTGTTTGCTTAATACTGAAATCCCTGACATATAAAACGCAATGAGTAGGCGATTACGAAACCGAGCGTCATGCGGAAGGAATGTGTTTCACCCCTGCACACACTGTTCCTCCTGAACCTGGACCCGACCCAGTTGGCAAGAGTGAACGTCTGCTACTGCAGCAGCGCAGCTCACATTCACCTTCGCTAACAATGAATGCTTTGTGTGAACATCCTGAAAACTTACCAGCAGTTTCTCTCTCTCCTCCTGGTGTTTCTTCTCAGCCTCTTGAAGCTGACCGTACAGACGTTTGCTGGCCTCCCTCATCTTCTCTTTTTCCTGCTCGTCCATACTGTCCTGAAGAAAGTAAGAGAGACAGAATAATGTAGACAGTGTACTAGGAAAAGGAGGGTGGAATTTGGTTATTGTTAGGTTTGTTTTATGAGGAAAATATACAATTTCTCATTTTGGTGTTTGTATCAAACCAAATGCCTTTTTGTTTTTGCATAACATAACAATAAAGCAGTTGTTATATTAAGTATAATGGACTAAGCAATTATATAACAAACTTCCTGACAAATGTAGCGATTTGCACTGTGGTCTTAAAATAGTCTTTAAAGTTTCTTCAAATATTAAACATGTCTTCTAAATATGCCTGACATTTTTTATTTATTAATTTAATTACTCTATAAAACATAAAACAGTTTGTTTTTAATAATTTCTATAGGTCAGAATTATTAGGCTCCTTATGAATGTATTTTTTATTTATTTTATTTTATTTATTTATTTAATATATATATATATATATATATATATATATATATATATATATATATATATATATATATATATATATATATATATATATATATTAAATTCAGCATACAATTTCTCAGATTTAATTTCTTAGTGAATATGGGTAATATATTTTTGTGCATTTAAACAAAACAGATTTATTAAACAGATATATTTATTACATTTATATTTTAGTCACCAAACATATTTAGAAATTGAAAGAAAATACAGTTAAATTTATGCAAAAAAATGCAAACATTTAAACAAAATTCTATTTTGCTTATTTTCATTTTTATTTAATATTTTTCCCTAACATATAGATTAGGGTGTACTAGTTTTTGGATCATTATCGTAAGGTATTTTGTGAGATAAGCACCGGATTTGGCTTTAGTACTGACTAAACTAATGTATATGCACAGATATAATAATGTAAAGCCTCCTACAGAACATATGAATTTAAATGAGAGATTTGTGAGGGGTTTACTTATATTCTGAGCACTGTGTCACACATCAACTCCTTTTTTCTTTAACCCACATCTGTCTTTGATAAGTTACGCAATATAATGGTTTCAGCAATAAAAAAAAATCTGAACAAATAGTACTGAAGAGTAAACCAAACCATCATCACGCAAAACACAATATTCGTCCTCCCAAATGTTTTCCACTGAAACAAACCCACATTTCTCCCAGGGGCTATTTTTACATCTGTGTGCAATGTACATTTCAGAAACAGAGGGAGGGATTTCAGTATGTGCGTCACTAGGGTGTGTGTTCTAACAGTAAAATACTGACGTGTGTTGTCACAACTCAAGTTTTTCCACTCATACTCCAACTCTAACTACACACACACACCGTACACTCACATATCCTGCTGGGAGACTAATCCACACTATTCAATCCTTCGAAAGAATGTGCTGCAGCCGCGTTTTGTTTTATCAGGCCACAAAAGACAAGAATGTGCGGAATGTGAGCATCGTTAAAAACCTGTTGATCAAATAGCATCGATAATAAAGGCCTGTGGATAATTATTAGAGGTGGATTAACGTGTTGTCCTGGGCTGTGTGCTGTTGTGTGGTTTCTTGGATAACACAAACACTGATGGGTGTTTACAGCTGCAGGTTTTGCTATCAGAGTGTGAGGTTGGTGATATGGGTGTGAATAAGCTATTGGCTGAATGACAGATGAAGAAACAATTATGACCTAAAGGACAGATTTTATTTTGGCAAGGAATATTATGTAACTTTACATGATGCAAAGCATGCTCAGCATTTGGATGATATCTTAAGTGGTTATTGTTTTTTTTTTTATAGATTTTAATGCAGAAAATGCAGCATTTGTTTGTGGGAGGGTTGTGTTTATGAGAATATATCTCTATTTTGTATCAGAATTAGGGATTGGCATAGATACGGTATTGATAGGGTTATTTAAAAATGTTTGATAACTAAAGTTATAGTTAATTTTAGCAAGATATGAAAAGGTACATTATTAAAAGTGGATATTTGTCAAATTAACAGTATTTTACCAAAATAAATAAATCAATGGAAAAAGGGTTTTTATATGATACAAATGAATTCAGACATTGAAACAATTTGAATATGTATAATTATTATATGTTAATTATCAGGCTTTTAATATTTAATGAAGACAAAGTTATCAAATTAAAATATGTAAGTAAGAATAAGTTATGTGCATGATATATTTTTCTGAATAAATAAACATAATAAAACTTTTATTTCTGAAAGTTGGAATAATATGATGTTTAGCATAAAAAAATGCATATTAATTGATATATTTGCTAAGGATTACATTTAACACTATTCAAATATAGGTTATTTTTAGGTTTTGATGATGCCAGATATGATCTGAATGTAAAACTATGGCGAAATTACATAATAGTTTATATTAAAAACAAAATAAAACCCTTGAAGCTAAAATCAATCAATTTAAATGTCCCGAGTCAATTTATGGATCATAATATTCTAACGAAGTGTATGCAAACATGTCTATTCATTTTTTCATTTTCTTTTCAACTTAGTTCCTTTATTAATCAGGGGTTGCCACAGCGGAATGAACCGCCAAATTATCCACCATATGATTTACACAGCGGATGCCTTTCCAGCTGCAACCCAGTACACACATTCACTACTGTCAATTTAGTTTATTCGATTCACCTATACCACATGTCTATAGACTGTGAGGGAAACTGGAGCACCCAGAGGAAACCCATGTCAACACAGAGAGAACATGCAAATTCCACACAGAAATGCCAACTGACCCAGACGGGACTTGAACCAGCGACCTTCTTGCTGTGAGGTGACAGTGCTAACCACTGAGCCACAGTGTGGCCCTTCTATTCATTGATATATACTTCAAAAAAAAGAATATTAAATATAAATATCTGAATATTAAAAAGTGCAGATAAGCATCATGCACTATTAAATGTAACAAACTGTAAATCTCTTACCTGTCTCTCTAAACCGTTCAGGCTCTGTGTCAGTGCTGAATGAGTACCATTGACTTTTCTGGCACCAGATAACACCAGCTTAGAGGGAGAAAAGAGGAGTTAGCAAACACATTACGATTAATCTCTCTCAGAAAAACAGCATACTGTGTCTGTGCTGTTTTCTTGTCTCACCTTATGTTCGGCTCTGTGACTTTTAGCTGCCATCTGCTCTCTGAGGCTCTTGAGACAGTATCTTACCTGCACATAGTACAACACTGTTAATGTACATCTTCTGGAATCATCCACATACAGAAAAGTGTAGAAATGATACTGAAGATGTGTTCTGACCTCCTGTATTTGTGAAACCTCCTCTGAGAGCATCTTTAGACTCTGCTGGTGTCTGGCTTGTGCCTCTTTGCGGTCCTCCAGATATACCTGACAAATAAAGCCGAAGATCATAAGCACTTCAACACTGATTTTACAAATATCTGAATGAAATATATACTATGATTTTATGAATGAGTCTAGTTCTGCCCAGTGGTAAGGCTACATACTGTAAGAGTCAGCATGATCTCTGATTGAAAGCTGTGTCACACAATCAAATGACACAAAATAGTTTTGTTTGTTTGTTTCATGGGAAGGAAGAAAAATCCTACATGTAATAAGTATGAAATAATAATATTCTGGCTGATGAGCGCTAGTGATGGGTCGTTCATGAACGATTCGTTCATTTTAAACGAAACTTCAATATGAATCAGGAACTACGAGTCCTCATGGAGTGATTCTTTCATCTGCGCGTGCGCACATTTGTGCAGGTAGTATCGTTAATTTCAAGTCTTCATCACATTGGCAGAAGTCAATCATACGTGTTTAGAGCCGGAAAAAGAATTGATCCGCTCACCTCTCGAGTCCTCTATCAGGTCTAAGTCATTCGTTCCTCACAGGCCAATCATATGCGTTTAGAGCTGGAAAAAGAATTGATCCATTCATCTCTCGAGTCCTCAATTGGGCCTGAGTCACTCGTTCATCACGGGCCAATTATACGCGTTTAAAGCCGGAAAAAGAATTGAACCGTTCATCTCTCGAGTCCTCGGGTTTGAGTCATTCTGTCACGTGATGAATGAACGATCATGGCTCCTATCGGCTCAGACTGTGCATTTATTAAGATTATATGTGACTGTCAGTGTAACGTGAATGAACCCCTGACATTTGAAGACATGAAGAGGTGTTCAAAAAAGATTTGTTCATCTTGATGAACGAGACTCAAAGATCCGAGTCAGTAAAATGATCCGAGCTTCCCATCACTAATGAGCGCTGATCTTTCATTTGTGTCACTCTTTTGTATGGCAGATGGTAAATGAAAGAGCTGTCAATCTGATTGCTCAGTTGGTCTGTACATTTTAGCTTAGAGTTTTCACCCTTATCTATTATTTTTAATGTATTTTCAGTATATGTATTGTAAAACTGTAGTTTATTTGGTAAGTAGATACTATAAGGCCTAACCTTTCACCACGATTCACTCTAAAATATCTGTTCTCACCTCTAGTTTTGTCTAGTCTGTTTTAAAAAGAACTACAAATTCAGTTACTTAGAATCAGATCATATTATTGCTTTACATCACAGCTTCTAAATGTAATTGATCTGTCAGTCAAATGTAAGGACACACCCACCTTGATGACCTCACCCTGATCGTCAGATGGCTTGATCAGATCAGACTTCAGCGGCTTCCTCTCATAGGTTGGCTGTATCAAAGCAAACGCTCTGCCGACTGGCTGAAATGAAAAGGAAAATACACTCATGTCACTACTGCAATTTGTTCCCTTTTCCGCTGTTCATACTGAGGCGGCAGCGGTAGTTGGTGCACCAGCAGCTTTTGACCGCTGGGTGGCGCTTTAACCACAGATTTTCAGCTTTGCCTTTTCACAATAAGAAATAGACTTTTCTGTATGTATACCTTATGTGATGTGATTTGTTCAACTAAAATGTAAATTTATTGTAGTTTTCTTAGTAATAAACTTGCTTTTACACTATACTGTATGTTTTAGAAAATATACAATACCTGGTGAGAAGTATAGCCCTAGGCTATAAAAAGCTGCTCTGTTATGACTTTCAATGATATCTGAATCTTAGTCTTTAAAAAGTCTTGTAGTCTTCATTTGATGGAATTAATACTGCAGAAGCTGCCAGTTTCGCTTCTTAGAAAGCACCTTTACATTTACAAGTCTTTCAGAAAACAAGGGCCTCTTTCTGAACAAGTATAAATAACTCTGACTCACAAAGGGCAGTAGGAAACCCCTAAAGAGCAGGAATGGACGTAGATGTGGGAGAAAGGGACTTGGAAAGTTATGCAATTTCTGGAATCTGAAACAATGAGGCTCTGGTCCTACAAGAACGTCCCCTGGAACAAAGCCACATGCTCCTTATGTTTATAAAGCTCTGGCAGACATACAGACAGAAACTGTGTATGTGTGCATGTGCGTATGTGTAATTCCAATAAATCTGAGCTTATTCCACAGAATCACTATCACACCATAAGCACTATAAACCAGGTCATTATTTCTAACAGTAAATATAAAGGGGCAACTTATATCTGGTATAAAGATTGTCGAAATATAGATGAAAAATATCTTCTGTGGAACGTAAATATATCTATATATAAAGTTAAGTTAGGCAACAAACATAGCAATTACAATTAATCAAAATATGTTAAATAAAATCTGTAATCATATTAATATATATGTAAAAATTTGACATATAAATAGACAAACATAAAGCTAAGTGACGCTACAAACCAAAAGCATCCAATATATCTGATGTGATACAAATTGTTTCACATGGAATTTAATTATATCAATATGCAAATACATATAAATTGAGTAAAGTGAGGCTAGATAATACTAGCCACTTGGCTTTAGATTGGTACATTCTGGTAATATTAAAATGGTTATAAACATTGAACTTCATTCATCCATTTTGTTTACATATTTAGGAAATATATATTTACTTTTTTGAAATATTTAAATAAAAATTAAATTCCTTAATCTGCCAAATGCCAGAATTCGAAAATATCACCACCTTTAGTGAACCAGTATGTATCAGACTTTTACCTTGTCTGTGACAGGTTGCTGCTGCTGCTGGTTCTGTTCGTGGAGAGTCAGTCTGAGCGTCCTGTGGCCGTTCTGCAAAACGAAATGAACGAATGTGAGTGAGGGATTCAACAAAGAGACCGTTATAGAAAACCAATGGGTGGGAGCTGAGTGGATGAGGGGAACATGTGGGGAGGAGAAACTGAGTAATGCCCTCTGAGGGAGAGAGACTGACTGGAGGCCAGTGGCCCATTAAAGTCTGTGGTTACTCAATGTGAAAGGGAAAAAAAACGAAAGCGAAAGGCATTTACGGACCAGTCCCACAAATATACACAAAGTCAGATTTGATTTGTTCCTCAGCTTCTGGAAAATTCCTGAGCCTCGTGGGCTTTGCCAAAACTTTGTGTTTGAATGTAAATTTGAATCGTCACAAAGCTAGAGGCGGAACACCACAAATCTAAACGGCACAATGTGCTCCAGTGCCAGACAGAATATCGCCATGACAACAGAGACTTCCATCAACAACATAAACTGTGCCTGCTGGACACAGGAAGAGACAAAGCAGAGACTGTAAAGCTCTAGCAACAACACAAACACACATATACAGCATACTGTATAACATCCACAAGACCAAATTAAGATATAATGAAATTCACTTGTCAGAATCACTGTATATGGCATAATCTGATTCAAATCTACAAAAATTATTACTATTTTTAAAACTATTTTATAGTTATGTGATTGTCAAAAACATGTTTGTTTTTTTAGTTTTTTACTACGGAATACATTTCTTCCAAACTTAAAATATGTCAGCATAAAGAGTGATTTAATGCAAAATATAACAAAACATTTCAGCATTTTACGCAGATTTGTTTGCCTTTAATTTAACATAACACAATACCAATGTTTAAACTTCAAACAGGGTTAAGAAATCATTAATTGGTGGAATAACCACCAAATCAACAAGTCCCTTGTGTTTGAGTGTGTGAATGAGTGTGTGTGGATGTTTCCCAGAGATGGGTTGTGGCTGGAAGAGCATCTGCTGCGTAAAAACGTGCTGGATAAGTTGGCGGTTCATTCCCCTGTGGTGACCTCGTATAAATAAAGGGACTAAGCTAAAAAGAAAATGAATGAATGAATGAAATACCCAATAACAAACCATTTAAGTAAAAAAACTAATGAGTACTGTGAACTTAATTCATTTGAGTAAATGAAGCAATTTGAGCACAGTAAACCCCAGTAAATAAATAGAACTCAAACCAATTAGTACTGTAAAACCCAATAAGTTAAGGCAACTCAACCCGTTTGAGGAAATCGATTGCTACAAACCATTTGAGTAAAAAAAAACAAAAAAAAAAAAAACTAATCTTTGTGAGTACTGTGAATTTCACTTGAGTTATTATTAATTAGGTATTTATTTAAACTCATTATCTTCAACGCTGAGTTCAAAACTCTTTTCAAATGAGTAGAATTGACGTTCAGTAAATTTTGAGTTAACTACACTCATTTCATTTGATAAGGTTGACTGTTGAGTTTTACAGTGTATTTACTGTATAACATATTTTAGGGTTTTTTTTACCTTTAATTAGAAAAGACAGTGAAGGATACAGACAGGACAGTATTGGCAACAAAGAGAGGAGAAAGGTCAGCAAAGGACCTCAAGTCAGGAATCAAACTCAGCTGAGCCCCATGGTGCTACATGTCAGCAGACTTAACACAAGGCTATTGGTGCCGACAGTTTCATCAGACCTCTAAGTACAAATATTATCATTTAATTCAAAGCAAATATCATAAATCCAAAGAAAGATGTCTATTTTTTCATTCATGTACAACAATGAAGAGTAGACCAATCAAACCAACTGCAGATGACTGGAGGAATGTGAGTGTGTGTTTGTGTTCAAGAAGAACTCCAGAAGATTCTAAAAGCAGTCAGTATAAGTCAAGATGGGTCCTAAAGGATTTTTATGTGCGTCAGACAGCAAACATAAACTGTGACATATTTATTAAATATGTGTGAGACGGGTCTAAACGGACTGTGAAAATGTCCCTGGTCATTACTGGGGTGAAGTTCAAGTGCCTTAAAAGCCTGAGCAAAGGCGAGAGAAAACATTACACATTCACATGCGACACATTCCAGTCATTCTTCATTAGATTGGAGGTGATTTATGTTTACTGTCATTAGAGCAGTTATTATGTAAGAATTTACCATAGAAGGCAACAGAATGGTTAAGTGCAGATGACAAGGAAAAAGAGTCGGTGATGTGTACAGTCAGTGATAATACGGTATAATAAGAGGATGACTGTCACAGTCCAGTTGACTTCATGTATAAATAGAAAGGCTAAAGTGAGTTCACAATAATAGTACAAAAATACCAGGATGAAACAGTAATAATGAGACAGAATATGAAATACAACAAGTTGCATGTTATTATTGAAGGTCAAAGAAAATTATATGACATTATGTGATTAAGAAATCAAGTTTATTTCTATGCCTTTGTATTATTATAATTATTATTTTCATTATTTTACGCTAACGTTTAATACTATTATTACATGCTTGTCATTATGTTATTTCTAGAATGATATAATGAATAATGTGTATGTATATATGATCATTTTTATTTATTTGATATTTTGACTGTGATCAACAAGTTTTAAATCAGTGTCTGACACTTAAGAAGAGGCTACAGCTTTATCAGACTCTATGTTTACTCTGAACATGTGGTCTAATTTATAACCATATCATATCTGGGGAACAAAATGATTGTGTGCTGTCAGATGCCAGTGGCATTCTTTGCAGCTGACCAGCCTTTCTTCTCAAGTTAGAATCTGCCTTATGATAAAAGAAGCTTCCAGAACACAGAAACAACAACAGCAATAACTGCACTGCAGTTAAACAATACAACAGTTAAACAATAAAGAAAAGTACATAAAAATAAGGCATGCTTTCTGATAAAATGACATTTACAAAAGTGATTTCATTTACAAAACATAAACATATTAAAAACACTTTTACACAATTAAAAAAAGTCTCAAATGAATTTTGTGGAAAATAACATTTCAAATTATGGATGAAATAATGTTCCAAAGTGCAAAACTGTCATCCAGAGTCAATTAAAGCTATATGTACACAAAACATACTGTAGCCTATACATTATATATACAATTATTACAGTATACAGTATTCATGCAGCCAGCTAAACGCCAGATGTACAGACTTCAGCCAAAGTCTAGCTGTTACACAACACAGATACTCTGTACTACAGTAAATAGTATATAGGCTATTATCATATTGTGACATACATGTTTTATCACAAAATGATGCTGCAGAGTACTTATGGACATATTGTAAATAAAAATTACCTTAAACAGATAAAGTACACAACAAACTAATCCTAACATGATGCTATTTTCAACAAACAACCACCACAGCATTCTCTGAAATCAACATGTTTGGTCATAACATTCCATGTAAAGCTGGAAGTTACAGTACACACTACTGAACTACATGTCATCAACAGGGATTTCAACACTTTAGTGGTGCAAGTGTGCTAACCTGTCCAAGTCGAAAGATCTATTATAATTGTATACCACTTACCAAATCAAAACAAAACACACAGCCACACCTCATCCTACCAGACCAAAACAACACATTTATCGTAATCCCATAAACAAGACAAAACAGCCATGACACCATCAGGAAAACAGACGAAGCAAAAGAAACACAGCCGAACAATCAGTAGACAAAACGACGACAAAGACAAAACAACAAAAGTTTGCTTAGGACTCTAAACTCGATCTGTTAAGCATTATATGTATTATATTTACCTTATAAAATCTATAGGTACAATGGTTTGGACGTCCGTTGACTGTGTGAATCGCGTGTTTCCATAGAAGGCAAAGCTGTGTTTAGAGTCAAGCCAAGTTCAACACCACACCTCAACCCAAGAGACTAACAAAAGCACGCAACACACACCTGCAAAATGGGACGCAGCCCGCACAAAACAATTATCACGCCTGTAATGGAAAAGGAATACTATGTGTAAAAAAGGTTTTGTAGAGGCATCAGAAAAACATGCCATTAACAATTACATAAGAGAGCAACATAATAAAACTTTCCCATTACAAATAAAACTGGAAACACATACTGTTCTGTAACACACACACACACACACACACACACACACATAAAGCCTCTGGCTGAACAAATACTGCCACACAGGAATGAATTGTGTTCATAGATTATATAAGCAGTATAAGATTTTCATATTCAAGTACCAAGGAACTAGAAAAAAAGGCGGTGGCATGGAGGTGTGGAAAACAAACATGCGATTAATAACAGATGCAGAGACAGATTGAGCGCATCGGTGTGAGTTCATTAAAAATCAAACCAGGTCAGAGTGAAACCTGATCGCAGGTGTGAGGTACAAAGAGAAGAGCTTCAAGAGACAGACGGGGCGGCAGGGAAAGAGAGGGAAAACAGAGAGGATTGTTTGAAAGACGTGACGAGACTGTGTCATTGGATCCAGGCCTCTGAACCCCTCAAAGAGATGAACAAAAGACAAGGCTAATCACACAAACGTTTTTTTCCTCAGAAAAGATGTAAAGGTCACGCAAGAAATCTGAATAGCTGCTGGAAACCTGAGACTCTACACAGACAATGGCGAATTTCTAGATTAATTGTAGCATATTAAAAAGAAAACAAATGTGTATATTTCTAATAAAGTATTGAAAAGGTTGACAATGACTGAAAAGGTTGACAATGACTGAATGAGTGAATAAAAACTAAATATTTGTTAAAAAAAATATGGAAATATGTTCTTAATTGTTAATGTTGTCTTGCGGTATCAAGGGTATTTGCGTATACTGTTGCCACAAAGTCCATTGACACATTTGGGGGGAAATGTTTATGCTCTATATAATTTATTTTCAGTGCACTCTATTTTGAAAACGAATGTTTTTATTTATTTCTCAGTGAGTATAGGTAATCTGTTGGGTGCATTTGAACAAAACAGATTTATTAACATATATTTATTAAAATAACAATTTAGTCACTGATCATATTTTTAAATAGTAAGATAAGCAAAATATAACCAAAAAAGTATATGCATACTGCAAAATCTCAACAAAATGTTATATATTATTTGCTTCTCTTGATTTTTCCCTATTTTTTACATTAATAATTAATATTTTTGTTACATATAAATATGGGTTTACTAATTTTTATACTGTAATCATAAATTATTTTGTTAGATTAGCTCCAGATTTGGCTTGAGTACTGAATAAATGAATGCAGATGCACATATATAATATATTATAGCATCCAACAGAAAATATTAATTAAAAAATTGTAAGGGGGTACTCATATTTATACAGTATACTGAGAACTGTATACATAGTATGAAACAAAAATTAACATATCAAAGTAACATCATTGGTTTTATTTTCATTTTATTTATAACAAAAAAGAAAAAAATATTTTCTTTTCGAAAAATCACAACTGGTTAGAATAAAATGTTTAAATTTACTGTGGTTGAAAACTAAATTTTACTCAAACAGATAACTATAAATCATGAATCCCGAGACGATAAGATTATTACAGTTGTCTGATTTAATTAGTTTTAGTTTTTTGTATTACGTGTTTTGGTATATTAAAAACACACAACTTACACATAATATATATAATATTATTAATAATAATAATAATGATCATAATAATAATAAATCATTTACATTTCTAATACACAAAAGAGTTTACGCAGTGCCGTAATAATCATTTGTGTACTGTACAATTACTTCCAAGACTTGACATGACAAGGTGAGTAAAGCAAGAGGACATTTTACCACAGCATTCTGTGTAACTCCTCAAGGCAACACGACTGAGCCAAATTTTATGTTGTGTACATATTTATTGCTACTGTTCTCTATGTACAGACCTGTATATCACGCAATGATAATTATCATAGACATACAGAGCTAATGCTTATCATACAACCTGCTTCATAATGAGAACTTGATGAGGGAGGCAAGACCTTTCCTTTCACAGACGCCACATAAAGATTGTGTAAACACAAGGTAATTATTTGTTGTTTGACTCGGAATTTCATGTCACAAGTGAAAGAGGTATTGATTGAAGGAGCGGTGAATGAGCAAGTAAATGAAGGACAGAGAAAGTAAACACATACAGTACACACCAGGTTGAACAAAGATTTTTTTTTTTTTTGTGTAGCTGTTTTATAAAATGGGAAACGCCTTGTATACAGTAACCTGAGGTCATCTGACAAAACTTGGAAAACAAATTAGCTACAACACGTTTTTTAAAGAATTTTACTTTCCATTAAAAATAGGATTATTTTGATTTGCTTGCTTTTTCTTCTTTAACACAACACAAGAGAAATGAAAGTTTTTTTCACTCTACTTAACTGTGTGAAATCATTGAAAGTCATTTAAAAAAGGAAACATGTGACTCTAAGAATGCAACCCATAGTGTAGGTCTTTGACCTTGCTGTGCTTGATGGGTCCATTAAAGAGCTTCCTGTTGAAAAAAAGACTCAATGTTCTGTTTTCATATTTGCAAATGAAATTCATGCAAAAGAGTAGCCTTAACATACAGTACAATACTGTACTTTATCACATCAGACCTGTTAAATTCCTAAGTCAGTCTGAATGGCCATTATATTAAAAAAGGAAGGAAACCTGCCACAATCAAGTAAATGCTTGGGCCCTGTCTTACTTCCTACTCCTTTGGCGAGTTTGTGTGCAAAATGCAGACCTTTCGGTTATATAGCTTATCACTGAAAAAAGTGTTGCATGCAGAACTGTTGCAAACAATTTATTTGTGTTAAATTTAAACAAACAAATTAAGTTGAATAATGTTCAACTTAATTTGTTTGTTTAAATTCAACACAAATAAAATGTTTACAACCACTTAACGTAAAAAAAATTGAGTAAATCCAAGGAATCAACTTTGAATAATTTTTTTCAGTGTATTGTGTGGTACAAATAGGCTGTAAAACCAGTAAGCAAACAAGGCTGCTCAGCAACGGTCATCAATATGACAACCTGGATGGAAAGATCAAGTTAATGATCATCTAACTCGTTATAAAAACTCTTTATATACAGTATACTGGTGAATTGGCAGACACAAATACAGCTGGTATTTGGATTAACTACCCCCTGTGCTAGCAGAAATGCCTCTCACGGGATATTAGCGAAACCAAATATCTAGTAAGTGACATTAAACCTGATTAAGCATCTGCTGTGAACAGAGAAGGGCGAGTGGAGGTAAATGAGGTTTAGTGCTGCTTGTCACTTCTGTTAATCTATTAAAAAAATACATTTAGATACACTGCTTTCACAAACTTAAATTTGATAATAATGGATGAATGAAGGACAAAACCATAAGCAGTAGATAATTTCCTAATCTGGAATGCAGAGCACATTTAATATTTCACCAGGCAGAAATACGTTACAGAGGATCAAAGTTCACTTTTATGAGCATGGTGGGAAAATGACCCAGAAACCTCTGGCATGAATTTAGGTAAAATTGGTTTTATATTCACACATTCAATCATTTTTGAACAGTGACAACTTGTGTAATGGTCCACATTGTGTTTACCATGCTACTTTGAATATTCCCTCTGAAATCGCACGTCCGTATGACTTTGAACAAAGGTGTACTTTGATAGTTAATTTCCCTATTTAGTATTTGCAAAGAACACTTTTTTTCTGAAATTATATTATTAAGGAAAAAGTCTTAACATGCGAATATTAAATCAACTTTACCCTAATCTGGCAAAAAGTGTAATTTCAATAAATAGTTGTTTTTATTCAGTATACAGAAACGCTTTACAGTGCCCCAGTTACAAATGTACTAATATGAATTATGTATAATTACATGAAATATCCAGTTCTGTGTTTTTTTTATAAATACTAAATACATAAATTTAAAATTACACTTTAAAACAAAACAAAAAAATCTTACTGAAGATTTAACAAAACACATGGTTATTGTGGTAAAACCATAACCTCAAAACAGTCATGATTTTGCAACAGTTTAACAATGGTAGCCTATTTGTGTGTATACAAATAATAACAATACAAAATAAACAAGCACCAGAAAACAAGCTGTCTACACTTTTAGCACAATAAAGTCATGATGGGTGTTAGTGTGGTGTAGCATGATGTATCTCTTTGGTTTATATATATAAACTATTTAGTCTTGAAGAGAAAAAATATAGTCAGCAAATCATCCTTTTAGACATATATAAGTAGTGAATAAGTTGCTACATACCAGTCTGTCATCCATTCGGATTTCATCAAACGTGCACATACTTCCCATTCGATTCATTTTAGGTTTTCTTTATTAAAAGTTAAATAAGTTAAATAAGAGCAGCAGAAGCTGAACGTCCCTCAGCGCGCGCGGAGTGTTTTGTTGTGTTGTCCGATACGCTGAATAATAAATAGGTTCGGTGCAGCTTTCACCGCAGGCTGAACGGTTTTGATAGACACTCCCCTCCCTCTCCTCCATCTCCCTCCCTTCCTCGCAGGTTTCACGGGTCGTTGTAACGCGTCATAGCGTGGAATCTGTCGTGTGACTTCATTTCTTCGGCATTCCGTTTGTTTCGCCTCAGCCCGCGGGAGACCGCAACATGTTGATGTGTTTCACCTGAGAGACACGATCTCATTCCACTATCCCGAGGTTACGGAAATTAAGCAATACAAATAGGCAGAACGTGTAGAAAGCTAGACAGTTTTTTATTTTTTTAAGAATATATGGAAAATGTCAGGCCAACTTCAGGTAAGTCAGAAACACAAGACAGGTCCACGTACAAAGGTTGGAGTACATGTGGTCATTTCAGATATGTAGTGGATTTTTTTTAGTTAAAGCCCTAAACTGTCTGTGATTGTAGAAGGTTAATAGTTAAATATGTATTTTAAATAGGGTAGTTTATTATAAAAAGAATATATAGGTGAAGAGGGAAAATGCAATATGAGAGTTATTAAGTAATGGCACGTATGTGTGACTTAACATTCATCTCCATTCCATTTGACGTTATGTCATTTATTTTATTTTTTTTTTTCTGACAGGCTATAATTAGTGCATGTATTGCACACTGAAAGTACATTTTTAACAACTTTGCATCATTGTGGTCCAAACCAGACACAACTAGTATTATAGGAGGACTGATTGATAAGCAGTTTTGCAGCATAGTTATTTTTTCTAGATGTTTCTATTGACATTTTTTTTTTCAATTAAACAATTTCAAAACAATTTAAAAAATAGAGACAATTTATTCTCGCCCCACTGCAGTATTATACACAATCTTAATCTGTTTATATCACATCATGAAATATACATACATATGTTAGCAAATACAAGTTCCCTTATATATTTACTCATCTATTGTATGTATGTATGTGTGTGTGCTATATATATATATATATATATATATATAATATGAAAACATAAATTTAAAAATTTTATAAAGTAGAGGGAAGAAAAAAGAGAAAAACAAATAATTTACAGCCAAACTGCAAATGTTTGGATCCATTTGCTCTATATCTCACTGGCTGCCATTTGTAATATTTTGGAAAAGTAAACATGTCAGGCTAAATAATTGAAACTAATCATTGACTTCTGCTGTTTAAAATTTAAAATTACATCATTGGATACCTTTTCTGCTGAAGATACTGTTGCCCTAAAAAAATGTAAATAAAAAATCTTACATATACCATAGGAACAGTATAGCAGAAAATGTTGCCAGTTTTAAAACATTGACTTTTCCAAACCGCAGTAATCCCTGAAAACGGTTATCGTCCCATGACTAGTCACAGATAATTTTAGTTGAGTGAATCTCATTTATAATGTCTCACCTGATATCTTCTGAAGAAATCAACATAGTGAGAGCTTGTACAAATACCATAAATGCAATTATTCAGTCGTGTGCTGGAATGCCACAAAATGATAGACAAGAACACCAGATGAGTCTGTATAGAGTTTTTTCTTTGTTTTTACTTTGTTAGTACACATATTACAAAACATTAGTGGCGAAAAAAACAAACAAATACAAACGTCATTCCACAAAAACGAATGTGTACATATAAAGGCATCACACCCATGTTATCAAGTTTGCTCCTTTAACCGCAATGAAATCTTCTATAAATCAATAAAATGTTGTCATACTTTCAAGCATTAACTCTTCTGACTTTAGAAAATGACTTTTAAATGTGATCACTGCCAGATTTATAAACAATTTGTAAATAAAATATTGTAAATGAATCAGATTTTTTCAAAAGTTACATAATTTAAATAAGAGAAAAAGTAGAAAACATCCACGTGCAAATCAAGGCAAAGGCAAATTCAGCATGACTAGTGCATTCCACATTGAACTCTATTGTTTTATAAATAGATTTTTTTTGGTTTTATTGTAATAAGTTTGCTAAAATAATATACAGTTTCAAAAAAATATATAATGCATTAGTAAATACGGTTGAAGTAATTGTTTCTATTTATTTATAAATATTATAATATACATCAGGAAATTACACATGGCAACTTCAATGTAATACAAATGTAATACAGTTGCTATACTTTTGGCCGACAGCTCTCAATCAAGCTTGGATTTTGGCCCTTCATAAGAAAAAGTTTGGGCACCCCTGCTCTAAGGTCTTCTGTCCATGGCTTTAAATTGTATTTAAATGTAAATTGGTTATTTGGTAAATTATACTTAGTAGAAATAATCAGTCTTTCATGAAAAATAGCCTTTGGCATTACTCTGAGAAACCCTACCCTTGATTTTAAAAATAGTTTCAACAATTTGTACATGCCTGATGACAGTTGATATTAAGCAATATTTTTCCACAGATTGGGATGGATCAGTGATACTATACGCAGTGTGTGTCAAGGGTGTGGATTTTGACTCCTCTTTATAAAAGACAAAAAAGGCTCACCGGTTAATAGTCTGCTTTTGTATGTCATATAAAGGTGGTTCTAGCAGTGCACCAAAAGATGGTTTCACTTGAATGATGATAATAATATCAACAGGTTAAGAATTAGATAAATAAGCAATGCAAACATGATGGAAGCCCAACCCCCGCCTATTGTGTATTTCCTTTCACATTTAATGCTTTTAACTTCGCTAAACCAGGTGCTACATGAATCTAAAACTTCTGTTTCCAACTGTTTAGTTCTTACATCAGATCTCAGTTATCAGATCATCAGTCTGTGTCATGCTATGACTGTCTCTCACAAAACAAATCACTGCATGACTGGTATAATAAAAATCACTATTTTTACTATTTTAAGTTCGGCTTGAAAGAACTTATGACAACATATTATTAGTTTTACGTTACGGCATTAAAAAGAATGAAATCATAACAGCATTACCCAGAGTTATTTGCTTATAATAGATTTTCCCTTTTGATAGAAGATGCCATATAATTGCTAAAATGGGACATACTCAGAGATGTTAATGTCAGAAACATTAAAACAACCATTATTCATTTCTGAATTGATAATCTTCACATTTGGCATATGGTTCATATGCAAGGGCTTCTGATGGTCTGGTGTCAACTGTTGGGAGACAAAAATCAGAATATTATTTTTACACCACCTGTCATTATTAAAAAAAGGGTCACAGTTTATAATAAGGTTTACAGTAATGTGTTACATAAACTAAGTATGAACAATACTTGGGGGGATTTCAGATTCTCAGGCTTCTGTGAGTAGGTTCAGTAGTGTAACTTTCATGACATTTAATAAGTTCTTTTCATTGCCCTTAAAATGAAATAACTGAACATAAACATGGAAGACTAAGGAAAAAAATGCAAATTTTTATAAGGAGATTTTAGATGAACTCTTTACTTGTACGGCATTTATTATTGATGTTTCAACATTTACTAATGCTTTATTAAAATCCAAAGTCATGCTTGTTAACATTACTTTTTTACATTGTTAATGCACTGTTAACATGAACTAACAATAAACAACAGGCCTGTAGACAGGGGGTGTTCGAGTGGTTCGGAAGACCGACCCCTCAATGACAAAGGTCCAAGATTTGCCCCATACATGAGCTCATCTGTTCTATTTTGACTGCTATGGCATAAAAAATTGTGGAAATAACCCATCAAAGCCTTTAAGACCATGCAGAATCTGGAGTAATCTTTCACTACTGAGCTGCTTTATTGTTGTTAAATAGAGAAAACATTTTACAAGATACATTTATTCTAAATCTTGGACCTTGTTCTTCAAAGAAAAAATGACCAATGTAAAGGTGCAAATCACCAAAAGTGGCTCATATTAAAGTTAATTTTCATACTAATAAGGCTGTTGTTATCCATGAATTTTCACATTTATTTTTTTACGAAAAGCTAAAAATGATTAAGCTCTATATTATTATTATTATTATTATTATTATTATTATTAGTAGTAGTAGTAGTAGTAGTAGTAGTAGTAGTAGTAGTAGTAGTAGTATTAGTATTATTAATATTAATGTTTTGTTTGTTTATTATTCAAAAGGCCAAATTCTGACCAAGGAAAGTCCTGGCAATTTTGTTATTTCCTTAATGAATGGCTGCAGTTTTTTCTGTTTTAAATTTTGTGTATTTTTTCATATTTCTTAATTTTAAGTCTTAAGGTGATATTTTTGGTTCATCAGAAAGTGTGGTTATATGATGATCATCAGACAAGCTAATCCAGCTGAAAATAGTGTATAAAATGTCTATAAATGTCTATAAAATGCAGTATTTAAACCTCAGATTTAATCAGATTTTTTATTTGACCCAGAAGCATTAAGCTTTTAGTGTAGAAAACACGATGGGAAAATTCTTACAAAATTTTACGCAATTTATCTTAGTTTAACGGTTAATTTGTTTTAATTTGACACTGTACACTGAAAAAAAAAAAACGACTAAATAATTACTTGATAAAATAATAACAAATCTTTAAAAGTAAATTCAAATAATTTGAGTAATCTTATATCAAGTAATTATAAGCAATACATTTTGAATTTATTCATTCATTCATTTTCTTTGTGGCTTAGTCCCTTTATTAATCTGGGGTCGCCAGAGTGTAATGAATCACCATTCAGCATGTGTTTTATGCAGCGTATGTACTTCCAGCTGCAACCAATCACTGGGAAACACCCATACACCCTCATTCACACACATGCACTATGGACAATTTAGCCTACCCAATTCACCTATATAGCAATTCACCTATAACTGCACCCAGAGGAAATCCACGCGAACACTGGTAGAACATTTAAACTCCACACAGAAATGCCAACTGATCCAGCTGTGGTTCGAACCAGCGACCTTCTTGCTGAGAGGTGACAGCGCTACCCACTGTGCCACTGTGCCACCCTGAATTTATTTATATTAATAAAGTAATTTTTTTTTTAACTGAAGCAACATTGCTTTTGTCAAATCAGTTAAATCTTATTAGCTACAAACTAGATTTGTTTTTCTGTAATATGTGTTATTTTTTATATAGTTTTATCAATTTATAATCTGTTTGTTCCCTGCTATTCCAACCAAATCATCACATTTCAGTTAAAATTAACTTAATATTAGGTTTATTTGCAATGATTAGAACATAATTAAATATTGCTAGAAAATTATTACTTCTTTTTTCACTCAGTGCATTTACTACATCAAGTACATATGCAAATCTGTAAAATTCTAGTTATCCTTGACATTTAATATTAGATTAAATATTAGATTTTATTATATATTTTTAAAGTGTAGTTCAGAAAAGGTAAATACATTACTTATATCGATAATACTTTGCAGTAACTTACAGGTTGACATTGATGCTGAGGTCTGTTCAACTAAAGAATACACCGGGACATCATACCCTGCCAGAAAAAACAAAACAAAACAACATTTTAAACACTTTTTAATGCAATTTAAGTATTTAACATAAATATCACTTACTGTACCTTCTGCAACATATGAATAATATACAGATAACGGGCGGTTGAGCTCTGCTATAAGAGAAAAAAAGAGGCACTTTACAATCATGCATGAAAGTTACATGTTAAAACATTTCACTGCAACGCAGCTTCATTAGTCTTTAAACCCAGGTGATTACAAAACTCCTTAATTCTTAATACATTTGCCATTTACATTAATCTTGCAAATATATAAGCACATCTTTACTAAAATAACATTCACTCATTTGAACAAAAGCATCTACAAAATGAAAATATGTAAGATACTATAGCTCTCTGTGTATTTGATTGTGGGTTTGGTTTGAATAGCTTTTCTGCTAGAGTCAAGGATATAACAGGAAGGTGCTAAACAAGTATACAAGGTATGAAACTGATTTTCTGATGACAAAAAGTCATAATTTACCATGTTAATTCCAATAAGCCATTTCTCTGTCTGACAGCTCAATAGTGTTAAACATTTCTGGACTTCAGTGGTGGACTTACTGTGGCTGTTGTTTATGTGCTTTCGTTTTTTGAAATAAACAATGACACAGATGATCAGTGATATGATGGTAAGCAGAGACACCACTGTGGACATCACTACTGCTGTCAGATTGTTTGCTGTTGTGTCAGTGTTGCCCCTGCTCTGGCCAGCAGGAATTTTAGGAGTGACTGCATGAAATATATGATTACATTTTATCAGTGCATTTGGTTAGACAATTTCAATCACAGACTGGCACATTCACATATATTCAACCACGTCTTACCTGTGGTAAACAGTGTTGTGGATTTAGCTGTAACAAGACCTGTAAATAAAATGCAAACAATTTTGCATTAAGAACCTTAAAATCAGTAGGATTTAGCATGCTTTTTATAAACTCATCAGCCTGGGAATAATTATATGTTTTGTTTTAATGACTCTTCAAAAGTTTTTGTTTTAGACACCAATACCAATAATAATTGTTTAACCGATTCTTGTCATATAAAAAGCAAGATTGCCAGTTTATGCATTACTAGTGAGAATTTTTAAAGGGTTAGTTCCCCCCAAAATGAAAAAAAAAATCCCCCCATCCTCATGTTGTTCCGAACCCCTGAGACCAATTTGTTCATCTTCAGAACACAAATTTATATATATTTTTATATTTTAATTTAGTGCACTGTGAAAAATGATGGGTTCCACACAATTACTTCATGTTGTCCAAACAAAAACCAATTAAGTTAATTGCATGTTTTTATTTATTTATTGTTTACAAACTTAAGTAGATTGAACATAAAACAATTAAGTTATCCCAAAAAATCTTAAGGATTAATGCTTCATGCACATTAGCAGCGACTTTGTAGCTGCTCTGGGTGGCGATCTGCTGCAAACGCAGTCTGCGTGGGTCTATCGCAGGGAGAATACAACCGGCCTCAGCAAGAGCTGAGAGGATCACGTGAGCTCTACTGGTGCTCCTATTGCCTGTCGCTTAAGAAAGTCGACCTTTATTTGCATAAAGTTGAAGGATTCTCAATTTTGTTGCATTGCTCAACACGCCCACCTGCTCGCTAATGTTCGCTGTCGTTTGTGTAGATGGAGGTTGCCAGAAGTCGCTCACTCTTCGTTGAAATGAAAAGTTACTTGTCGTTGTCGCTTTGCTGCTGCAAGTCACTTGTAGTGTAAATGAGGCTTAAATTTGATTTGAATGTGTAATAGGACAGTAGTTTGACAGGGAGCAAAGTTTTATAGAAATTAAGAGAGAGAAAAAGAGAGAGACGGGATAGAATGGAATCAAATTGGGAAAGGTCTGCGAGACATGAACTCAAGATGCCCAAAGCACAGTTGTGCCACATGTCACCATACTACCCACCAGGCTATTATACTGACAAATTAAGATATTTTAAAATGAAAATCAAGAGCTCTCTGATTCATAAATGTCAAGAGTCACAGGACTTTTTTCAACAGTTTCCTCTGTTTGGTGTTTACTCCAGATTCATGTACACAACTTTCTCTGTTTGAAACAAACCGAGCACAGCATATCACTCATGAATGCACAGACTGAGCTGATAATAAAATGAAGAAATTGTTGAATAAAGTCATTTTTATGTTCAAAAAATTATACTAGTAGCTTCGTAACATTACGAATAACCTCTGAGAACACATCGACTGTTCAAAAGCATTTTGGTACCTTTCTGAACTGCAACTCTTTCTGTAAATTCAAGGGGCCTCAGAGCTCTTGGATTTCATCTAAAATATCTTTAAATGTGTTATGAAGATCTCAGAGGTTTTGTGGGGGTGAGTTTTCATTTTTGAGTGAATTGTTTGTGTCAAGGAATAATAGTGTTGTTAGAAATGTTGTCGTTGAATGATTTTATTTCAGACATCATTAAATAGAGTAACTGAAAAAAATGTCCTACAATTGTACATAATTAAAAAATTCAACTGTTGTGTAAAAACAGTATCACTTTTGTTTTTATGCAGTTGGTTTAATATTATTAATGTTGCTTAATTAGATTGAACAAAATGTGAAATTATTTTAAAACGCACCTTTGATTACCAGCTTCACTTCATAGCAGGTTGTGTCATTCACTCTGCATCGATACCACAGATCATCAGCCTTTACTGAATCTCTAATAACCAGAGAACCATTCTCTAGTTGTTTCGCTCTCTCAAACAGAGGGTTCGAGAGTTTTTCTGTGCTGTTTGAGGTTGTGGATGATGAGCGATATTGTGTTATATCTGTTGACCGGTGACCTTCAATGACTTTCCAAGTGACTTTATCAGTTGTGTTTCGTTGAGGATGTTCAGAGCAAGGCAGCAGCACTGCAGAGCCTGATACTGCAGAGACAGACTTCATTTTTGCACAGTCTAAAACCAAAGAAACACAGTAGTAGTCATAAAATACATGTTTATGACTCTATAATAGGGATTATTTGCTTGTTTGAAAAATGTGTATTCTCACCTTTGACTGTCAGGGTAAATCGAGTTGCGTTAAGGCAGTCTTGATCTTTGTAGACCTCACAGTCATAAAGGCCTTCATCTGTTTGTTGGATGTCTTTCAGATTAAGTCTAATATTACCAGCATGTTTACTCACAGACCATTTCTGGTGCTCTGATGCTGGCGAGATCAAGATGTCTTTAACAGGGTTATTCTTGCGTAGTTTCACTGTTAGAGTTTCCAGCAGGTGGGTTGTGGTTAAACAAGAAATGGACATGCTGTCACGCTGAACATGGCTTATGTTCAACTGATGAGGCTGTTCACAGGGTCTTTGAGCTAAGAGTGAAAATAAAACGAGAAATGAAACATCTTTGGAGAACTGGGATGTAGAAAGATAGGAATTACCACATAGTTTACAATAAAGATATCATTTTCTGAAATTATCCTGCTGAATGCAGTGTGTATAAAATATTTAATTTCCTAAATTTACTCGGTAGCACTTCACAATACAGTTCCCAAATCAAACAATGACAAATATATCTAAAGCATTTATTAGGCTTAAAGAAAAATGCCTGTTATTATTAATTAATAAATCTGAGCTGACAATGAGCAATTGTGTTTTTATCGTCAAAGAAGAATAATACTGTAACAACTGTTTTGCTCTTTGCTATTTTGCTACACATACAGTAATTGCAAATGGTCGGGCTTAAGGTTTATTACAATCTTATGTCAAGTTGTCACACAACAAACAAACAGTTAAAACAAAGACCATCTGTAGTTACACAATTTCTTCTACAGTAACTTTTTTTAAACTTTCTTTTATATAATTTTAGAACAGAACCAACAAAATCTCACGGCAATTTGTAACTTTTTGATTTAGTGGCTAATTTGTCTGAATTCGTATGATCTAAATCGTACAATTTAGTACGATTTGCTCATGCCTCAATGACGGTTGGGTTTAGGGGTGGGGTTAGGTGCCATGCCTCCTTTTTAAAATAGAACATTTTCGTACGACTGAACTTGTACGAATTTGTATGAATTAACCACTGAACTGACAAAACGTAAAATACTTATATTTTCTCATGAGATCAGGCTGAACAGAACCTATACATAAACACACAAAAAGATCAGCTGAGGTCAACTTCCAAATAAGTTAACATTATGTAACGTGTAAATGGCATTGATGATATTCATGTTACACCCATGGCACATTTACACACCCAAGTGCATAAATAATATTCATTTTGCTTTGGTAAGTAATTTGACTTCATATAAAAGACACTTACCTCCGCATTCCAATAAAGCAGCTATAAAAAGATTTAAAAGTCGGAAATATGAAAGCTGAACACTCCCCATCATCTACAAATGCTCACTGCAGGGTAACAGACCTCTATGTGAGCACAGGCCACATCACTGCACTTTCACAGAGTAGCCGAAATGTAAAGTGAAAGGAGGAAGTAAGATCTTGTGCTCATTCCTCCCCGTCAGTAAGACTGTGTATTTCAGCTGCTAATTTGCACCTTTAAACTAATGCATCTATTTAGAAAGATGCTATAATACGATATAGAAGTTGAAAGTATTAAGACAGGAAACACACCATCACATGGATGTCTTTAAGCAGCTCACTGCAGACAAACTAAATATAAACAGAAGCCACAAAGGTTTTTCCTTCTATTTATTTTCAGAAGTAGGAAATGGGATTTCTGCAAAATGTCAAGCGACAAGCAGTTTTGCTCACATTTGAAATCATTAAATCAATTAGCTTCATGTTTATATAGGGATAACATGGCCATACAAATCATTTATTACATTAGTTCATCAGAATGTTTTTTTTTTTCCCTGAAACCAATAAGTATGTTTAAGACTGTTAGAAGTACTGTATGCATTTTCTTTGGACTACTGCCCCAAATCGATGAAGAACACTTTTCTCTTCATCCAACAATTTCTCTACAGACATTAAAGAATTAAATTCCTGTTTGATTCACTGCAAAATTAGTACACTTGTGTTATTAGCAATGATTACTAATGCCAGAAAGAAATGTTCCTTGTAGAACTTTAACAAAAAAATAAAAAAAAATGTAAAATTTGTTTGATTCTTTGTGCTAAAAATTGTAAAATGTCAGTGGTATTATTTTTTAATTATAATAGATTACTTAAATTTAACAATTATCATTGCATAAAAGCATTTTTTTTACATTAATATGATGTGCAATTTAATAGTCATTTTACAAAACATATCCTATATAACACTAGTAAAGTGAACTAATGATTTTTTAGTAAAGACTACTAATCCATATTTAATTTGTCTTCTATGTCATGAGAGTAAACTCTTTATTCGTTTCACAGATTACTTTTTATTAAACAGATCGCATGAACAACGCACTTCCTCTCAAATCTGTCATTCACTTTCCGGGTTAACCCTTTTGGTTTCCCACATCTTCCCTCTTTAGAAAAGAACATCATGTTTTCCACTTTTAACACAAACCCCTAAACATTGGTTTATGTTTAACAGCATACCCAAATTAAAGTGCAACATCAAGCAATGATATTGTTTTTTTTTTTCATAAACTCAAATCTTAATTCCTTTCTATAACCTGAAACAGTCCATTTAAGCCTAGTTCACACTACAGGATTTTAAACATCAGCAGATCGCTGTGTTGTTCACACTACATGACTTGACTTTGTGTCTTTTAATCTCTGTGGTGTTCACACTACGCAACACTCCGTGAACGATCCACAAGAGGGGGGTCACACACTACATGATCTGACAACATCTCATTCCCCATCAGCTCATTCAAGCTACCAAACCACAGCCAATGAAAATTTGAGGGAGGAGTCGTCAGAAAAAAGCTGAACACTATTGGCTGCTTGTGTGCTGATTACATCACTGACAGCTTTTCAAGCTTTGGAGAAAGCATTTAAAAACATAGTCAAATCAGCTGATTTACGAGCGGATTAATCACTCATCTGCAAGGTTTGAGTGGATAGATACACAGAGAGTTTTTAATTTTTGTAATTTTATAACTCTTTGAAAAAAACATATTTATAACACCCTGCCGTTTTCTAACTATCAGTGTATTTCTTTCTGACATTGTTATTTTTTATTACAAAACAGTAAAGAACTGAGCATTTCTGCCTTAAAATACCATATTGGTCAAAATGACTACATGCATGTCTGATACTTTTCGCTGTGACTTTAAATATGTGTGCATTTTCTTGCCTGGCAACTTCCTGCTAACATAAACAAAACTTTCTGATGGCAAAAACATCAATTTACTTCAGATATCTTTCAAAACAGCATATTCTGTGCTTTGAAATAGCTCCTGTTTTAAAGTGAAAATGAAAGCCAAGACTTTTAAGTGTTTTAGTATCTTAACTACATATTTATAGGCTGTATTACCAAAAAAATATTATATTTTTAGGGTAATGGTGTCATTAAACATGATGCCAGACATTCAAAGCTTAATTTTAATATCTCAATGATAGCTTTGAATGTAAATATGTTGTGACAATATGGCGTTTCATATGAGAACGGTCAGAATGAGCAGTATGGTAATTCTAATAGTTACAGAATTCTAGTTCCACTGTTAATATAGCCTACTCTCATGTCTGTGCTAACGCAGAATGAAGCCAGTGCACCGATGCCCATTCTGACCAATCACAGATGTTTCTGCTGAGCTCCTGAACACACAGGCATTCAGCTCATGCTGATATGCTCTCTCATTGGCTGCAGCTCGTCACTACATCTGACCACACGTGGGGTTGAGTCGGCCGACTGCTCTGGAATATTTAGCATGCTAAATGTTGGATTTCCGTCTGCGAGGTGTCGGCGACGCGTCAGCGAGCCTCGTTGATGCGTTGCTCAGTAGTTCACACATAAAGAGCGGCGAGCGTCGAGCACCCGCAGATTTCTTCCCGATCACAGCCCGATCTGTCGGCGAGCTCGTTAACTTCCAAATCGGGCTCAAATCAGGCTTAAAATCCTCTAGTGTGAACTAGGCATTAGTCTAAGTAATGTTTGGGCGTTTTCACCACCCTTCCACTGGAAGTCGTAACTGGTGGTTTAGTGTCCAGTAAAGGTGTTGCTGGGTCAACTGTGTGAGTATTTGAATGTTCAGTCCCAGACAGAGCTGGTTCTTTTTCTTCCTACAATTCTGCTTGGATTGTAGCATCTGGTTGCGATGGCATTGCTTGCAAATGCTTCCTGTTTCTACAAAGGACAGCTCCTTTTTAAGTTTGCACCAAGTACGATCTTGGTTCTGGTGTTTTGTTTAGCACAACCGCTGGTGTTTTCCAGTGCTTTTCACTGTCCAGCTTAAGAAGAACCTTCTCACCAGGATGTAACTCGGGTAGTGTGCGAGCAGAGTGTCTCCGGTCATAATAGAACTTGTAAGACTCCTTTGCAGCTTTATCTTTCTTCTCCACTGCTTTAAGTGGATGTTAAAGTTGAGAAGCACTTTAACATCGAGACCAGCAGCCTGTAAGTACATTTAAGACTTGTTTCAGTTGTTGTGTATGGTTTGAGGACTTGTTTTCAGCTTTTTGTGTAAAGTTGTAGGACATTTAAACTTGCTTTCAGTTGTGTATCATACTAGAAGTGTTTAGCCACTGTTTCCTTGGTTACTATAAGAGCTTGTGTAGCGAACGCGAACGGTTTCGCGTCGTCCGCCTCAGTTTCGGCCCTTGTTTTGACTCGGGAGGCGTGTCCAAACGCCAGGTAACCACTATATAGTGAGCACGCTAGCTTAGTCGGCAGGAGAAGCACTTTAACATCGAGACCAGCAGCCTGTAAGTACATTTAAGACTTGTTTCAGTTGTTGTGTATGGTTTGAGGACTTGTTTTCAGCTATTTGTGTAAAGTTGTAGGACATTTAAACTTGCTTTCAGTTGTGTATCATACTAGAAGTGTTTAGCCACTGTTTCCTTGGTTACTATAAGAGCTTGTGTAGCGAACGCGGATGGTTTCGCGTCGTTCGCCTCAGTTTCGGCCCTTGTTTTGACTCGGGAGGCGTGTCCAGCTGAATTCAATCAGCTAGTGCTTTGGGGTTATATAAACAACTAGTTCACCGCGGCAGCGGTCGCGGCAGCCTCGTGTGAAGACCGCCTTGTGTAAAGACCGACGAGTGTAAAGACCATCGACTCTACCTGCGCGACTCCACCGAGCAAAGACACCGACAAAGCACTTGAGTACTTTACTTTCTTTTTTTTTTACTTTATCTTTTGTTGTCAGTGCACTTTTATTATGTGTTTTCTAATTCCTGTTGTTACTAACACTCGCAAAACATGGGAGATACGCTGCAGGCGTAATCCTCACAACCTTCGTTCATACATGTATCTGCTATTTCACAACTCTCTCTCTCCGTGGGCCTCTGGAATTGTCAATCAGCTGTTAACAAGGCAGATTTTATTACCTCCATAGCTACATATTCTGACTATAATCTCATGGCTCTAACTGAGACCTGGTTGAGGCCGGAGGACACTGCTACACATGCTACTCTTTCTGCTAATTTCTCTTTTTCCCACACTCCTCGTCACACAGGGAGAGGGGGTGGGACTGGACTACTAATTTCCAAAGAATGGAAATTTACTCTGATAACGTCCCTGCCTACAATCAGCTCCTTTGAATTCCATGCAGTCACCATTATCCACCCCTTCTACATAAATGTGGTTGTCATCTACCGCCCACCGGGTAAATTAGATCACTTCTTAGATGAACTGGATGTTCTTCTCTCATCTTTTTCTAATATTGACACTCCCTTGTTGGTGCTAGGTGACTTCAACATTTACGTTGACAAACCGCAAGCTGCAGACTTTCAGACTCTGCTTGCCTCTTTTGACCTAAAAAGAGCACCTACCTCTGCTACCCAAAAATCAGGTAATCAGCTAGACCTTATTTACACACGACACTGCTTCGCTGATCAAACAATAGTAACTCCACTGCAAATATCGGATCATTTCCTTCTGTCTCTCAACATCCACATTACTCCTGAGCCACCACACACTCCAACATTGGTTACCTTTCGCAGAAACCTACGATCTCTCTCACCCAATAGACTATCCACCATTGTTTCAGACTCTCTTCCTCCATCTTGCAAACTCTCTGCACTTGATTCGAACAGTGCCTCTGATACACTCTGCTCCACACTAGCATCATGTCTAGACCGATTATGTCCTCCTGCATCTAGGCCAGCCCGTGCCAGTCCTCCTGCACCCTGGCTCTCGGATGCTCTCCGTGAGCATCGCTCAAAACTTCGAGCTGCAGAAAGAATTTGGCGGAAAACCAAAAATCCTGCACAGCTCTTAACATACCAAACTCTTCTGTCCTCTTTCTCAGCTGAGGTTGCTTTGGCAAAGCAGACATATTACCGTCTGAAAATCAACAATGCCACTAATCCTCGCCTACTTTTTAAAACATTTTCCTCCCTCCTCTATCCTCCTCCTCCACCC